GCTCAGCCTCAGCTTCTTTGCCCTCCTCAGCTATTTCCTGCTTTTGCTGGGCTGATCACAGCAGAGGACTGGCCCCTGAATCAGACAATGTTAATGAAATAACATCATCCTCCAGCGGCTCACTCTCATGCACAGCCGACGACCGCGAAAGGGAAACCCCTCCTCAAAACTCATTGGCCAGATCCACCTGCAATCCCCACAAGCTCATTCCCTTCCATGCCTCAGTAGCGGCGGGTCCTGAATCGCGGGAAGCAGATGGCTGCCCCTCTTTCCTCGAAAATAGAGACAAACGAGAGCAGAGCTTTTCCCTTGGAAAAAATGCTCGCAGTGCACGCTGATTGCCCCCTTGGAGGCATCGCATGCGTGCTCTTCGCCCAAACAAATAACGCATAGATCGTGTGTGTCATCAGATGTTAAACAACGTCAACACGGATGCACACATCCTTAAACGCTTTGCTAGTGCTCGCCATAATGAGATGAATAGAGATCGCTCTTAACACAGAAATGCACGCTTCAAACAAAACAGTCAATGAAGACGAAGAAGAGAATGATGTGTGAGAAGAGAAATCCCCTATAGCGAGACCTAGAGGATGCAGTTCAAAGTTCCCATGAAAGGGAACTCAGCTTTGCCATCACAGAAATAAAATAGATTTTAAAACATATTTAAATAGAAAACAGTTTAACTTGCAGTAATATTTCACAGTATGGCACAATATTTTTGATCAAATACATGCTGCCTTTGTGAGCTTAAGAGACTTTAAAAACATTAAATATATACTTTATATGCCATAAACTGCTCTCCAAGGAGTTTCTACACTTTAAAAATGTTTCCTTTCCTAAACGTGTCTATGAATATTTACTATAATGCTGAGCTCAGTTGAAAGTTTAAGATGTGAGAGCAACAGGCCTTACTGCCATCTCTATTTCACATAATGACAAGGTATAAACAAGCTCTTAGTGCTGTAGATTAAATACAGTGTCAGACAATGATTAAACTTTTACTCTGACTGCAGTACTTAATCAATGCAGTATACATCTGTAAATCTGTTTTATGAGAGGAGACCTGCTAAGATGTGAAGTATTAAAATTCTGGAGAGGCAAGTACAGTAGCTGTGACTATAAATATCAGGTGTTGAATAGAAACTAAAGCACTTGAGCACCTCTCAGATTCTGTGCTTTAAAGGTGGAGTAAGCAATTTCTGGTAGCCAATGTTGACATTTGAAATCACCAAAACAAACACGCCCCTACCCCAAAAGGGTATCGCCCTTATTTTGACAGCTCCGCCCCACACATATGTACGCAAACCCAGGCAACGATTAGTTCTGTGAAACAAAGCAAAAGCAATGTTACACCATGTCTACACCGTACGCGAGTGGCGCAGCGTGATAAAATACTATAGAACTCATTATAATCAGTGATGCTGTCTACACCGTAGATATATATACATATCTATGGTCTACACTGGATGTGGCACGGCACGACACACAAATCCCCGACAGAAAACTGCTGCTGCGTTCTATTCATGACTTATTGGCACAAATTTCAAATTATTTTCAACGGTTGCTTTGTCGCGTCCAGTGTACTAGACAGACTTTAGCTGTTGCGGCACAGACACGGTGTTACTCACCTATCAAGAAGAAACAAAGCAACCTCGGCGTCTGATCGCAAGCCTTCCGCTCCTTGAGTTCTCTCCATCACTGGAAAGCTGATCCGATATTTACACGGGTCCTACTTCTTGCCTTAAGCGTTCTTTTGTTCCGCAGACTTTTTCCTCTTTAGTTTTTTATCCGCCATCTCTATCTTTCTGTCGCTCAGCTCGGCTCGGCTATAGGGATGGGCGGATCGATCCTTAATTATCGATACTTTCGAAAGGATCGATCCTCGCATAAAAATATCAATTCTAAAGTGCATTTTTTAACCATTCATTTTATTTATTTATTTAGAAATTCGGTGCATAAAAAAGCTTCTAAGAATATTAGCGAATAATTGTGTTGGATAGAACCATTTCTCCTGCTCATCGGAACACACGCAATTGCTGAAAGACTGAACCAATCAATCACAGACAGCGTTCGCTGCTTGTTCAAATAGGGCTGCGTTTCCCAAAAGCATCAGAAGCATAAGTAGATCTTAAGAAACCATTGCCACATTATTACATTAGCCTACATTGTTACTATATATAAAATTAATTCTGAAAAATGCATCACGGTTTCCACACAAATATGAAGCAGCAATTATAATAAATGTTTCTTGAGCAGCAAATTATATTAGAATGATTTCTGAAGGATCAGGTGACACTGAAGACTGGAGTAATGATGCAGACAATTCAGCTTTGATCACAGATGCATTTTAAATTATATTTTAAAATATATTAAAATAGAAAATAGTTATTTTAATTGTTAAATTTCACAATATTGCTGCTTTTACTGTTTTTTTGTGTTTGTTTTGTTCAAATAAGTGCAGCCTTGGTGAGCATGAGACTTAAAAAAATATTACAAAATCTTACTGACCCCAAACTTTTGTGTACATGTAATATTTATTTTAAATTGGCTAGTTTGTGCAAGTAAATTTATTTAAACTGGTTGTTAAAAGTTCAAATGGATTGTGTTATGTTCTGTAATTTCTGTTAATAAATCTGTCAGAAAAAAATATGGTAAAATTTCACCTTTAGGGGTACAACAGCCTGGCAGCCTTTTACAAAAAATTAACCATGGTTTTATTACAGTAACCACAGTTTACCACAGTATTTGTACTAAAACTACAGTAACCACAAATTTAACATGGTAATAATAATAATAATAATACATTTTAGTACTTATGTAACACCATGTTTATTTCTCATGAGGTATCCTCAAAGGTGTACCTTTGTAACTTATCTACCCTTAAAGCATGCATACTTGTATGGTACTAATATGCTCACTTTTAGGGGTATAGGTGCACCTTTGAGGTTACTGCCCCAGAAAATTGTATTTTAGACAATTATAGTATCTTTTATTTCTGACAGTGTAAACAAAAAAGGCCTATGAAATGTTAAAAAACATGACTTTAAAATATAATATTAAGTGAGTATAATTACTGATTATATTCTTTTAATAATTTAAAAGATCAGTTTAGTTTAGAGGTATCGATATCTGCGATACTGGGCTTGAAAATGTCGGTATCGGATCGAAAATAAAATAAGAGGTATCGCCCATCTCTACTTGGCTAATGTCCGTCCCATGCACTGAACGCTCTCCTCCACATGAGTAGACATGCCCCTTACTGCTGATTGGCTACAAGTTTGTTTTGCTATTTGATCCGAATCAGTTTTCTAAAGCGTTTTTGAAAAATCACTTACCCCACCTTTAAATAAGATTTATATTGTACTTGCTGTGGACTGTGGTAGCAAAAGATCAAGAACAGTATGTTGTATTTTGTACATGTTAAAAGGCATTGTTTGCCATTTCAGCCTTTAAAATATTTATTTATTTACTGAATAATGCATGCCATTTCAGCAACAAATTATCATAGTCATAGGTTTCAAGTAACCCAAGTTTCTAAATACAACGGTGAGATGCAGTTTAAAAGAAAATTGTGACTGTATGTTTGCATTTGCAAAATATATACATATATATGTTTTACTCAAGTACACTGATATTAAAACCTGTGATTTAGTATTAAAGTTTCCCTTTACTCGTCCAGGGTCATCCAGGTCTGATTGGTCTGATCGGTCCTCCTGGTGAGCCAGGAGAGAAGGGTGACAGAGGACTGCAAGGACCTCAGGGATTTGGTGGAGGCAAGGGTGACTCTGTGAGTGACATGTGCTCTTTATATACACCTGAGTTAGTTCAGGATCTGGGTGTACTTTTGTCTGCTCCTCATAGGTGCTGTTATTTAAGAATATGTTTTGATTTTGCACTTAAAAATATGAATTGTTTTGACTGCAGGGTTCCGTTGGTTCTCCTGGTCCCTTCGGTCCCCCAGGTCCTCCTGGTATTCCTGTAAGCAGTTTTTCTATTTTCTCTCCAAACCTTTTTTTCTGAAAAGCCATATATATGCTCCACAGCTATTAGGAATATTTACATTTACATTTAGTCATTTTGCTGACACTTTTATCCAAAGCGACTTACAATTGGGGTATACATAAAGCGATTCTTCTTAAAGAGGCAAACAGATACAGGAAGTGCTTGTAATACCAAGTTTTTAGACATTGTTCAAATAAGTACAAGCTAGAAAGAGAAGGAATAATTAAAGAGATATAATTTTTTATTTATTTATTATTTTTTTTAATTGTCAGGCATTCAGCATTCCGGATAGGGGTGGGAAGATCGTTCCACCAGCATATATAGTAACAGAACAGAATATAGTATCCATTCACAGGAATATTCCTGATTACATGTTATCATCAAGCTATTCAGGTGCTATTCTCTTTCGACAAACCTGAAGATGCTCGCCCACTCTTGCCATTTACTCCACTTGGTTCCCTTTTGTACATTTGACCACTCTAACATTTGCTTAATTGACTTCCTTGTTGTCTCTATCTTCAGGGCACACACGGACAGAAGGGATCCAAAGGATCAACTGTAAGTGCTGAACCTCTCCTTGACACATATTTTTTTGTTCCAGTTTAAATTAAGCATGTCTTCTGTTCCCCCAGGGTCCAGCTGGCCAGAAGGGAGACCCTGGCCTGATCGGACCACCAGGTCCTCCTGTAAGAAAAATATTATTTTGCATAAAAATAAGATTGTATTGAGAACTGTGCTGAATCAAATTGACATGCTTATGTCTCCAATGGGATTGACCCTACATAATTGTCAGTGATTTAATCTTTGATTGTCTATCTCTAGGGCCCAGCTGGTGACATCATTCAGCCCCTCCCCATCCAGACAAGTAAAAAATCGAGGAGGTCGCCCGACATGCAGGATGACGAAGCAGCGGGAATGATGGATTATGGTATGGAGGGAGTGGAGGATGTGTTTGGATCCCTCAACACCCTCAAGCAAGACATTGAACGCATGAAGTTCCCACTGGGAACCCAGGATAACCCAGCCAGAACCTGCAAAGACCTTCGGCTCAGCCAACCAGACTTCCCTGATGGTGAGAGAAAGTTATGAAGTTACTTTAGCATAAAGGCAGATTTATATATTTTTTTTCAGTCAATTAAGTCTGTCTGAAGTAAACAAGGCTTAAAAATCAACACATCAGTATGAAAAGAGATATAGAGAATTACTTCTCTCTTTATCTGGGGCAAAAAAAGAGAATTTTAACATACACTTTTTGACCGTAGGACATTACTGGATCGATCCAAATATGGGATGCATGGGAGATGCCTTCAAAGTGTACTGTAACTTCACTGCAGGAGGAGAAACTTGCATTTACCCCGATAAGAAATCCTCAGGGGTGAGAGGAACTCATCTCTGCTAAATCACATGATTGGTAGTCATATAAATCAAAAATAAAGAACTGTATTATCGTAGTGGATTATTTGATCACAGTTTCCATTTGTTCCAGGTTAGAATATCAAACTGGCCAAAGGAGTCCCCAGGATCTTGGTTCAGTGAATTTAAGCGTGGAAAAATTGTAAGTGTCCATTTTTCTCTTGCATTATAAATTTCATAAACTTTGAATCATAGCTCAGCAATTTGGTCATGAATGTCTGTTTGAAGAGTGACAGTAGTTTACAGCTTTTAGGAAAAAATTCTTATTCGGAATGTTTCAGTTTTTGTTTTTTTTTAAATACTGGAAATTGATTATTTTCATAAAATTGGGTTCTTTTAACTGTTCTTAAACTTCAGCATTCTTCTGGCAATGCAAACCGAATGGTAACTTGATTCAGTTAGCAAAGGAATGAGTCTGGTGTTTTTAAGAATAAAATCAGTTTTGGATTCATGTTGTCAGTTTAACTCGCTTACTATACAGTCTGAAAGATTATTAACTTAAATATGTTACAAAAATAGAAGTGTGCTTAGTGTTTCTATGTAAGAACTAATTATTAAAAGGTCCTTTGTCAAAAGTACTAAATGAACTATAGATCAAGGAATCAGAATCATTAAGCTGCTAACGATTCCCATCCCTACAACTCTTTGTAAAGCTCTTGAAAGTTCTTTCAGCCAGATGTTTGACCCGTTTATTCCTTGTGTCTCAGTTGTCTTATGTGGATGTTGAGGAGAGCTCGATAAACTCAGTCCAGATGACGTTCCTCAAGTTGCTCAGCTCTTCTGCCCGGCAGAACTTCACATACATATGCCATCAGTCTGTGGCCTGGTATGACGCCAAGGCTGACAACTATGGCAAGGCGCTGCGCTTCCTGGGCTCTAATGATGAGGAAATGTCCTATGACAACAACCCCTTCATCAAGGCTCTCTCAGATGGCTGCTCGGTAAGAGTGCTGTTGATCAGTTTGCTGTTTATACTGTATATTAGGGATGCTCCAATATTACAATTCTGTACTATTTTGTCTAAATAAATTAAACTAAATATACCAAAACAATTTTTTTATTAAAATAAGTCTCTTTAAATGCTATAAGTGAATTTTAGCATCACAACATTTTCACTTAGAGTAGGAAAAAGTGTATATTCGTTTAAAGATTGTGTCATTACATTTAACTGTTTTTAAAGATTAACATGAAAGAAATTAAAGATCAACTTGATTAAAGTTAACATTAGACGACAACAAAGGTGAATTAAATGTAAAAATAGAGGAAATACCAATATATATATATAAAAAAACTCATATCCAATATGTACTGATATATTATATATTTATACTATATGTTAATTAAGCAATATCCCATTATCACAGCAAGTGATTAATGTTTATATTGAATATTCTCTACCCCTACTTTTCTCATATTCTGGTCTGCAGCACTGTAAAAACAGACAAGTGAACCACTGTTATTTTATCATTATTTATATACTATTATAATATTTATGAATATTTGACCTTTTTTTAGATTTTAATAATTTTTATTTCATTTTTAGTTTTAGTAATGTTAAACTTATTTTTTTTGTAGTACTTAAACTTATTTTGAGTTAGTTGTCAAGTTTTAAGTTATTCATCTAATATTTATATATTTTTTTATTTTATTTCAGTTTTATTTCAATTAGTGTAACTTATTTTTAATAGCTGTCGTTAAAGGGTACATAACTTTACTGCCAAACTCATGTTAATCTTGAGTACTTATAGAGTAGTATTGCATCCTTCATATCTCCGAAGAGTCTTTAACTTTATCAGATTTATAAAAAACAGATACAGCTGTACAGCTTCTCTCCGAAAACAGTCGAGCTTCTGAAGCTAAAGAGTCATGAGCATGCAATGCTATTAGGTGTGTTCGACTTGAAGCGGCACTGTGCAGATCGATCAGTATATGACATCAAAGTACCGTGAAAGCTATTGAGAGCAGACGGCTCTGCGTGCTTCTTTTGAATCGCTCTCGTGGTACTTTGATGTCAAACACCGATCAATCTGTGCAGCGCCGCTTCAAGTCGAACACACATCGACATAAATAAAACAGGAAAACAAAAACTTTATTGACTTAAATTTTATTTCATTTGTTTATAAAACCTTCGTCACAGAAATACACACTTGCACAACTCCATTGCTGCCTTGGAGATACAAACTGCATTCATTGTTCCCTTAACGCTGGGTTCTTTTGGAAGCTGAACAAGGTTATCCTTCCCTCACAACTAGAAACACACTTCTTTGGTGACTGTTGATTTTGTGGTCTAAAAACAAAATGACAAATCCTTCTCGAGCAAGTCCTGTGCAGCGCTGCTGATGTCTTCCGTTACTCGAATGAAGTATGTTGATGCCGTGCTCCTGCTCTCACTCTGGTTGACGTGTTTGCGCTCTTCTGGGAGAAGTGCCCATACAAGGAATTCCGCCCTTTATGACGTCATACAGGGCCGTTCTCGAAAAAAAACTTTCTGAAACTTATACGAACCCGGAAGGAGTGTATTTAGCAAACGGATGTAATGACCGTATCATTTATTTATTCATTATTAATTTGTAATTATAGGGAATTAATGATTATTACCACATTCAGGTTTTGCTAGGACTCTTATCTGAATGTCCCAAGTCCACCTGATTAAACCATTCCAAATTTGTTAGTTTGCACTTCAAATCAAGGGTCGTCCAGCGAGACGGTGATTCTTAGTATCTTTTAACAAATTTAATATGTGTTTCCTGGCCACGGTCAACACAATTATGATTATTTGTAAGCTCTTAACAGAGGTAATTATTATAAGTAAGCTACAAGCTAAGTAGCAAGCAAGGATCTTTTTGGCATAGTTTTAACCTTGAAATTATATGAGCCAAGACACTTCTTCTTTATAAATGAAACATGAATTTTATTGGCTAATCTAGATTACATAAAAACCTAACTAAAACATACACACACATACACACAAAGATTCAAGGAAAGGAGTCAACGGAGTTGCATTAAGTTTCGCGAGTGGTTTTAAATTCAGCCTAGGAGAACACCAAGCAGCGATTGTCTTATCTTTACTGCTTTCACCAGCTCAACAGATTAGAGAGTTGTTCGTTTACTTGCGTTCTGCTTAGTTGAGAGCTGAACGCTGAGGCAGTTCCTTCGCTGACGCGGGTGTGCTGGAGGGGATTCCGTTGCTGATTGGCTGTTGATCTGGCGCCGGAATGACGTATGGATGACGTCCTTTGGGGAAATCCCTCGTTCGATTAGTTGGTTTCTTGATGACACAGAGGCTTGAGCAGTTC